CTGATTGCGATCGCTGCCGGTTTGGCCATTTTGCCACGACTCCGCCACGGTCGGGTCCCATGTTGATAATTCGAAATTTGTATTCCAATCTTCAAATTGTCTCCAAAATGGAATTGATTTTATGCAGATGAGCATGAAATTGTCTCAATGCGAGCTTTGCATGTTGGTGTAAATAAATGTAACGACGACGGCGGGGACACAGACACGGACACAGACCCGGACAAGGACGTGATGAGTCCGGCTTCGAATTTTTTTCCTCGGCCATTTTGGCCCATTTCGCAGAGTGCATGCAGCATCAAAGATGCGGCATTTACGAATTTGTAATTCACAGCAATTCAGCAGGGTCTGTCGTTTCGATTCAGCAACCGCAAACATATTTCCTCGAACGAAAATTTATTACTTAATTCCATCGGACGTTGGGACGGGATGGCAGATGCCACTGGCCGGAAAATCAAATCAAATAAAGAAGTGGAGGGGAAGGGGGACAGCAGCCGCAGTGAAGAGCTCATAAAATGCTCCAAGAAATCCACTTTAAATATTTGGCTAACCAGAAAGCCAGAACTGGAGAGGCCCTCCCTCTCTACCCTCTTCCGATCCCCGAAACTCAAACAATGCGCTCGCTTGCATTTCATTTGAATTTACAACTGTATTCGGTATTTGAACGGGCCGCGGGGGGAGCGGCTGTGCGATCGAAGTAACCGTGCCACGCCCCTCCCAGCGTCCAACAAGGAAATGGAAATCATCATCATCAACCATCAGAGCCATCAGCCATCAGGGTTATCGGCGTGGAGCAAGCCAATAAAATGCAAGCACGAGACAAACACAAATCGAATAAAAAATGCTTGGCGAAAATTCGCAGCGGAAATTCAAACTGGAAACCGAGGAAGAAACGGAATAACTGTGTGCAGTCAATAGCCCAATGTGTAAACATGGCCAACAAAAATATTTCAATATTTCAAACACGCAACTCAATGACGATTGGATTGGAATGCTGGATGAGAGGGGCAAGCTCTCCTTTCCCGCTTACCAACTTGGCCGAAAGGAAATTGAAGGACAACCGCAATTCATTGATTTAGTGCCAGGGATTTTGACTTGGCTTTAGCTTGTACATACATACATACATATATATATCTGTATATACTCTCCATTCTATATTCTCCCTCGTGGCGTATACGCGATGTTATCGCTTTTCATTTGTTTGCACTGCTGAGTAATTTGTGTTTGCCATTGCCGTTGATGTGTTTAGCATGTCCTACTCAGCCCCCGATCCCGGATACCCTGAGGCCCGATCCCCAACTCGGATTTGTAAATTATATGTTATGTCTGACAAGTGCGGCGATGGGGTGCAGATAACGCTCTTAAAGTGGCCAGGAAATTGCAAATTGCTGGTTAAGTTGCGTACGAGAGTTACGCCCTGATAAATATGTTACCAGTCAATTTCTTGGCAGCTCCAAATGATAGCCTAGCCTGCTTATGTCTATATTTGAGCTGCCAATAGCCATAATTTAAGCTGCACCCAATAAGGAGTTGTGCAACGATCAAATTATAATAATTTACATATTAAATTCCTGAAAGTCTTGAAAGAAACCTTAAATTTAGTGATATTCTCCCGCCGAGTGCTGTATCTCCCGCCGCTATCAATGACTTGGCTTGCATATTTTCCCAAATCACTTTCGGGGCCCGTAAAAATCCCATGCATAAGTTTAGTTCAACCAGCCAACTTCGAAGCATCTATAAATCATCTATGCAATTTTAATTCAAATACAAAAGAATTTCCCACACTTGGGCTGGGCTCGGGAACGGCAGCTATAGCTGCATTGTTGGCATAAACCAATTGCAAAGGCTAAAATAGCGAGGACTCCACAACTAATGCGCTCAGCGCGCACCGCAAACATTCTCTCTCTGCCGGAAAATTCAAAAAAACAGATCGGGCCAAAAGCCACTCGTGTCCCGGGCCAAAGGCTTTGGGAATAAAGCCAAACTATATGCATGTCTGTAGTATAAATAACCGCATTTGTCTGCGTGCGTGTGAGTGTGAGCGTGTATGCGAAATATTTTGTTTAACGTTTATAGTTTTATGCACTTAAGATAGCAAAATATTTTCCTTCTCTTCTGCTCGTTAAATTTATATTCGAGTATCAGGCACAGAGCTTAAGCCAAAAGCAAAACTTTTGCCAATATTTGTAAAAAATATATTGATTGGCCAGGGCCAAGGGAGTGGGCGGCAAGGCTGTATATACATAGCTGGAGGGGAGGAGACCAGTGTATAGCTGTCTCTTGACTTATGAACACACATGTACACACAGATCCTGCTTCTGCACATGCACTTATTCCTCCCCTAAAGGTTTTTTGAATTCCCCTCTACTGACTTATGGCTACGCTTTGTGGGGTTTCATTCCGGAATTTATTTATGCTGGTCTAAGAGGTGTTGAATTATAAAAAAAAAGAAGTAATTTGAAGAGGGAATTAAGACTCGGAGTATTTACAAATTATCGTATGTATATTTAATTAAAAATGACAACACCAATTTTCATTCAGATTTTGTAATTCTCACCCCTAAAAATATGAAGGATCTTTTGTAATAAATCAGTATCAAATATTATATAAGGACAGCTTAATTCAATTAAATACTACTTAAATTTAAATTATTTAAAGCCTTTAACATATTTCAAAACCAATTTCAAAGGGTATTCCAAATAATGTTGAAAGATGTATAAACTCTTCTGCTTGTGTTTTGCATCTCCTGGGTAGGGGAACACTTTCCTCAGCGACTACGTCGCTCAATTCTTTAGACAAACATTGGGCACATCTGCCACGCCTCCAGACCCAGGTCCCCACCCTCGGCTGCAGTCCCCTTCTGAAATTTTCCAAGCTTTTCGTGCATGATAACAACTGTGTGGCAAACGCAGTTCGAGGGCCATCGATGCTCCTTCACGGATATCTTCCGGCTGGAGAGCAAAGGTTGTGTTTGTTTTCTGTTAAATGTTCAAATATATTATTGCAGCCCGAAGAAGATGTGCGAGAGCGCACTTGCAGACATTTTCGAATTCGTATTTACATGCAAGCAGGAAATTGTACTCCCCCAACACACACTCTTTGGCTTGTTGTTGTGTCTGCATGTTAAAATATTCAAACAAAAACGTTATGAAAATATGAACTGTGATGTTTATCGATTGTGAAATATGATATACTCCGGGGACGGGGCGACTGGCGTCGGAAGTGCACACACACACACACACTCGCACACTGGTTTGGCCTTTAATTTGTTAGCACAATCCCATCGGCAGGCAGCGCCGCTGACAGGCATTCTACTGTATGTATGTGTGTGTCTGCACAGGGAAAAATAAAGCAGATGAGGCAGCCAATTGGGAATAATGCCAATAAAGTTCGAATTTTTTTAAATATAATTTACAAATAAAGTAGATAAAAGGATGCATAAAATTGGTTCCAAATACCTTTCTTTGCTGCCTAAAATGTCTTGTTTTTTTTCATAACGAATACACAATTAATAAAGATTTAATAAGACAGCTAAAGTAATTTTTTTTTTTTGCTGTGTGTGAGGAGAGTTTGCTCTGCATTCCGTGATTTTGTGTTTGTTTGCGTGCCTGGCCAAAAACGAGAGCCGGATCAGACCTTTCGCCCGACCAATCCTAACGGGAGCAGACCCCACGGAGTCAGCCAGTCAGTGCCCCTCGGCACCCGGGCATTGGCTGCCGAATTCCTACGGTAGCTAATAAATATTAAACTTTAATTAAATATGTTTTTTGCTCGATATTTATGTGGGCATCGACTGCAACTCACTGGGCAATTGCAGTGCAATTTCGCTTCTGGCCAGCCCAGCCATAAATTTACAACCTTGAAGCGCCACCAAAGCCAACGAGCCAAAGGCCATTAAAATACGTTTCTTTTTTTTTTCGCCGGCCACTTAACATGATGGTGGGAATGGGGAATCGAGAAGAGGGGTTAAACTAAAACTCATATTAAAAATTGACTTTTATCGTGATTTACAATCAAGTTGGCCTTTTTTAAATGCCGTGGTCGACATGCGGGTTTTGCCTTTCTGGCTCCAATTGCACTCTGGAAAAAGAATCACAAAAAATCAGAACGCTGTAAAATTTGCAAAATGCTGAAAAACAAAGATTTAAATAAGTTTTTTACTTCATTACTAGAATTTGAAATATTTTATAAATAAAAGGTAAATTTTTTGTATTTTATTTGATAGAAAGTTAATGAGTTTTCAGCTTTATTTAAGGTAATAGTGAAGATAATATTGTCCTTTTCAAATAAAAAATTTATATAAAGCCAAATTTAAATTTTTTCAGTGCTTGGGTTTAGTTTAGGTTGCCGAGAAGCCGCCACACCAGCTCCGACAGCTTGTTGTTGCTGCTGCGGTTGCCCCACTCTCACACACACACATGGGCGTAGAAAGAAAAGGGGTCTGTAGGAGGGGGGGCGGGCTAAATATTTCTTCGTGGCTTAGCTTAGACGGGCCAACATATTTAAGCCGAATGCTGACGCCCGATTCTCGAGCAGCGTCCACGACATGGCACGACACGTGGTTTGGTGGCAAACGGGCTTGGGAATGGGAAATGGGAATGGAGGCCGTGGCAAATCCCCTTAGCCACTCCCCCGGCGCCGCCCACTGGCACATCCTTGAAGGCGGCGGTGGCCTGCACACTATATCTGCACTTCCATTACGAAATCCCTTTCTTTGGTTTGGCTTTTCCTGCGCAACGCTTCATATTTCCTCACACGTAATTCCATTGGATTTCCAATGTCGACAACGACTTTGCCTCTTGACTTTTACTTTGCCCGACGCTGGCTTTTTAATTCGCCAAAGGATCCTGTCTGTATCGCCTTATTGGGTCAGCAAAAGTCTATAAACATCAGCACAGATAACGCTGAATGGGGTAAATAAATTATTTTAAGCTGTATTTTAATTGTTTTTCGCTCGAAAACGAGACTAAATTGTGTTTTCTATTTTCTCTATATTTTTACAGAGACTGCAGAGTTGTGCGTGATCCGCAGACGTTGAAATCAAAGGGCTATGGCTTTGTCAGCTTTGTCAAGAAATCGGTAAGCTATGCCAACAGATTGGCAACATCAAAGGCCAAGCCTTTCGGCACCAATTAGAAATGTTTCAATCAAGCTCGCATTAGTCGCTACACAAGTTTAATTTTCTAAGTAAACACACAACAACAACACACATATCTTTTTGGTTTCGGTTTCAGAAGTTTGCCAACTGAAATCTTAATTAAAACAAGTAGAAACTTTAGCTGGATTCCCGTTTGACATCCGAGCAACTTAACATATCAAAAGACACCTGTGGCTTACCCTACCTTTCCCATCCACCGCTACACCTTTATACCTTTCCACCCCCGTCTACATACATTTTCCCTTACTTTCCCTAAGATACACATAAGCCAGAGACAAGCCAAGCGAAGCGCACACATTTTTAAGATTTAATGCATTCCTCCTTTCCTTATTTCGGTTAACTGCCAAGGGGCGAGTATTTGATTTTATTTTCTTCCTCAAGGACACACTCGTATATCAAAAGCAGGCTGCTCACGAATCTGTAATGTTTTTTTATGGCCGCAGATGCAGCCAGTCTCACGGGCTCCCCAGGGCAAAGAAAAATCCCAAGAAACCACCCTTGGATCGTCCTGGGGCACTGTAAACATTTACACATCATATTCAATATGTTTAAACCGCAACTGATAAGGGTCCAAATAACTGCTGGCAGGACTCCCGCTCTGTGTGTGTGTGGTGTGTGTGTTGTGATTGAATTTCATGTGCCTAATAGGTAGAAAATTCGACAAAGAGCCACAGAAACCGACAGGCTGAGACTATAACTAAGTTTATGCGAGGTCGGTCCTTGGGAAATCAATTCATGAAGAGTGTTTTTATTTACAGTTTCATGGAAAAATAAACCATGAAAAGGGCCTAGAAAAGTATCACCTCTTTAAGAGTAATATTTAAGATTAAATTTATAAAGTTTGATCTTTCAGAGGCCTTTTAAAATAGTTTTCCAACTGTGAAATATTAAAATTTACGCATATTTCTTATTTTTGGATACATGGATGGATGGATTATAGCTTATATTGACTATTTTCCCATCAAAATCAAGCAGAAACCTTCTATAACCCATGATACCAAAGGCATAAACAAGGCATATAGCATCAAAGACGGCAGAATCGAGTCAAGCGAATGGCGTGTCAGTCAGTCGAGCAGAAAAAATGCGCAAGCCTAAGGCTTAGAGCCACAAATCACACGCAGACTCCAAGAAATACATATAGACGCTGGGAGAAGCCAAGCGCAAAGAGCCAAACCAAATCAGGGCAGCAGTCAGATCCTCCGGTGAAGGCGTAAAAGCCAAAGGTGCTGCTAGTCAATTAGGCGGCAAATGTTCAAAATTATTAATTAAATTTTAATGTTAATGCCATGAAATGTGTGCCACACTTGCCCGATGCCGGATGATTTGCTTGACGTTGAGAAGATCAGCGCGGATTTGCGTGGGAATGTGTCGTGTGCAAATACAACATAATCTCTGACACTTGTCTCCTGCCACGCCTCTCACAGCCCACCCGCCGCTGCCTGTCACTCACATCTACATCTATATGTATCAATAAATACGTATACATATATATATATTTAAGCCACAGTCGAACTTTCGGCTGGGAGCCTTTTGGCAACTGACTTGTTTTACTTGGAATTATGGCCAACGTGGCGTATACTTAATGCCTCTCCACAGCTAACTAGTTAACTTTTTGCGCTGCAAGTGGGGAATGACATGGAATGGGTTGCCAATTTTCGAACTTTCTCGATTAGTTTCGATGCAAAGGCTAACGCAAAGGCACAGGCTGGGGTGGAAGAAAGAAGTGCAAATAGCAAACTCAAATATTTCAAATTAAGTTTCTCGACATGCGTTTTGTACACAGTCACAGTCACAGTCACACACACTCACCGCCCTAAGCCGCCACAACCACGCCCCTTGTCCTTGGGCCGGCGTCACTTGCAGCTGATTTAATGCAAATTTTATTTATGCGAAAAGTTTTATTAAATTTTTGTGCAAAGTTGATATTTTCTGTGGTTTTGCGGAAATTGAAAAGTTATTTTTCGTTTCGAGTGTGTGCCAGTGCATGTGCATGTGCAACTGCCAGCCGGAAAAGGAAGAAACAGTTTTCTTTCATTCAGCACTTCCGTTTGCCGGCGCCTGAAATTTTGCCAATCGCTGGGGCGCTCTCCGTTTGCATAGAGCCAATGCCAAAGCCGTAATGCCAAAGCAGCTCAAGCAGCTCGAAAAATATTTAACGCAAATTGTTTGGCAACATGTTTTAAATAAACACCATAAGAGCATGGCTCTGAGAGCCTGGCTCCTCTTCTATATATTTTTTGTCTGCCTGTGCGACGCATACAAATTGCCATAATTTAATAACCATCAAGGCAAGCTGAGCATTTGCATGGGGGAGGCGGGAAGACGATGCCTGTCTGCGTGTCATTAGCATCATAAATCACAACAACAACAGGAACAGCATCAGCGGCAGCAGCAAGTACGAAAAAATTTACGCAAACATTAAACGCAATAAACATGTCGATGCCAGGCTGTGGGAAACATTAAGAAAATACATAACACTAACAGGGAAATATATTTTATATTATTTATTAAAATAATTATATTTTTAAATATATAAACAGGAGTTAAGAAATGATTTAAACCAATTAAAATTTAAAAAATACTTTACATACAGAATAAAAAAGAGAAATCTGCATTATATTAAGTTTATATAGTTAAAAAATATCTTGAAAATAAAATGCACAAATTTTAATATATTTTTATTAACTCTTAATGATTTTTTCTTAGTGTATAATCACTTCCGGAGCTCCTTGAGCTTCAACCGAAATGCTAATGTCTGCCACTGTCGACGGCTTCTGTTATTGTCACACACAACCAAGGCATATTAACATATTATTGCACACTCACAGGGCAAAAAAAAAAAGACAACAAAAAAACAAGAGCTGGGAATGGCAAGGAAAAAATCCCGCTTGCTGCATCTTGAGTAGCTTTTCTTTTTGACACAAAACTGATTTGCCAGCGTTATGGGAACAAAGGCAGGCTCAGGACCCAGGCTGCATTTAATCGCATTACTCCTTTCGCTCTGCCCTGCCATCTTGACAGATTTTTCATAGCATAATGCACTTAAATTTATTTAAAAGTTGCCGCAGCCAAGCGGTGGGGTGGGGCGGGTCGAAAACGCAAACGAATTGACAATGTGTGCAGCGAACAAGATATAATGTCGACTTCCCGGCCACGCCCCCGCTTTCTTTTCATCATCTTCTTGTGCAGTTCATTGTTGCATTATTATCATTTGTTCTTATTGTTGTCGCTGCTGTTGCGAGAATGCCTGTGGTTAACCCCCACAACACCCACCACCCACTCAGGCAGCCACCCACCACCCAGTTTGTGATGTTTCTTTTATGATTCCGCTGCGTGTTGCCTTGTCATGTGCATGTGCACTTAAATTAAAAAGCATTCCGCATACATTGGCCTTAATTCGCGCTGCGTTGCATTTTGCCAGTCCCAAAAATATGGCTGCAAGATTGATTAACCCATTCGATGCTTTTCGGAGGAGAAAACTAATTAGAAAGCTCAGTTATAGATATTTTATGTTTTAAATAATTAACAGTATCATCAATTTGCTATAAAAATAAGTCTTAAGATTATTTCACTCTCAAATTATTTTGATATAAGAAAGAACTTTTTTTAGGATGGAAAATTATTGATTGTAATAGATTTTAAATTACCCCGACTCAGCCAGCATTCACTCTTAATTGGTCAAAAAGATTTCTTGCAAAATTCCAATATGCCTAATATATTCCCTTTAACTTAATGTTTGCCTTTAAAGTTCCGCCCCCCTGGCTCTGACTGGTTTTCAATTTATTTAATTTCAAGCCTGGCAATAAATTTACTGAAGCGTAGAAAACTCGGTTATAAATATAAATGGCCTGGACATTCATTTTATGCTTTATATAATAATTCAGGAACTAGTGATTTGAGGGCGATGTAGGGACACCACGGACTACAAACTGCCTACACACGCGTAAGCTCGGAGCCCGGAGGCAGTGACTATAAAAAAGTATTTGTAGTAGATGGGGTAAGCGCTGTAGGGGAGTGATGCCCAGAATGGGAAACAACGCCCGAAACTGGCATACATAAATAAATCCCATGGAATTATGCCTTGACAAAAATGCGTTCTAGCGTGAAATACTGATTTTTTGGTCAACAACTCCCCCAATGTTGATGTGTGGTCAAAAATCGAAAAGCGTTTGGGCCGGGCCTAAGAGGAATGAAAACAGTTTTTACCGTTGACTGGGCCAGACAGATTCAAAGATGACTGGGGATTCTGAACGCCTTATCTCTGCTCCGTTCGATGGCCACATCGTCATCATCATGGCCATAGCCTGGCCTTGCTTCATCATAATCATCATCGAAGGAGTCGACAAATGGAAGAGCATTTCCATTGAGCAAACGATTTGCCACTTGAGTTATTTTATAAATATCAAAAAATCATCATCAGCAGGACTCCGTCTCCGTCTCCGACTTCGACTGCGAGTCGAAATGACTTGGGGTTGAGTTTTATCTGGAAAGCTTTAATATTCAACTTGGGGTCGGTTGGTTTCCTTCACGCTTATCTAAATAGCCACGTTAATGAATCTGACCGAAGAACAAAGCTAAACCGGCTTACGAGCTGGCCAGGGAAAACCTTTTAGCCCGAAAAGAAAAAGGGGCCAGGCCAGCACTAAATACTCGGCGTCTGCTACCTTTTTTAAGACAAAACGGTCCCCAAAAGAAAAGCGAAAGCCAGAACAACCTTCTTATTTCCCCCTGACAGCGAGGTGTATAGTATGCGAGGGTGTCTATGTGTATGTCAGGATTATCCCCTTTTTGTATTTGAGTTCGAGCTTGCCTTTTTTTTTGCACCTTCTTTCGCTACAGTTTTTCGTTTTCCTTTGCCCTTTTCCGCCTTGGCACAAGCCATTTCCTTATTGTTTTAATAAACATTTAAAATGTCTTGCTCTCGGCTTACTGGGCTGTGTGTATGTGGCAAACGAAACGTCAGCCGCAACCAGCAGCAACCATTTTGCGGGCAGTGGAAATGGGGATAAGATAAAGGGGTCGATCCCGGCGAGATCCACATGAAAAGTATGACAAAACCCTTTTAAACCACTTAAAAATTCTTCAACTTACTTTTGCCTTTCTTCATTCGCTTAATGAAGGTATTTCGCCTTTTCGGTTTTGTTTCCCTGTTGTTACCCTGTTAGCCCGTTTTCCCTGGCCAAAACTTTGAGCCCCTCCCATTCCCAGACTCTCCAAACTTCCCCTCCACTCATTTTCGTTTTCGGCCAAGGTCCACAGTCCGCAGCAGCATTAAAGGATTCTGCGCCTTATCAAGTAATCAATATTTACAAAGGCCTGCTGGCCTGACTTTGCGTAACTTTCGCTGCAAATTGAATCCGTACGCCAACCAAAATGTTCTTAAATTTCTGTGTCGCGCCAAGGAAACTTTTCAGCGCGGCATGTCCATGAAAATTAATTAACTTATCCCGAAAGCGGAAGTTGTCATTTAGAAAATTTTCAGCGCAAAATGTTCGACGCGTGTCGCAGTGCCTGAGCAGGCCTGTGTTGTGTCTGAACTTTTAATCAAAGGCGAATTCATTTGCGAGCTAAAACCGAAGCTGGACTAGTTCGGTGACAGACCGGAAAACGATTCAAGTTTTCCTCCTATTAGCTGCAAATTTGCCATTCACCATTAATTAATTTCGCCCAACCGAGCAACAACAAGCAAAGCCGCACACACAAACAAAGTGTGTCGCTCCAACTGCCAATGATGTGATCCAAGACCCAGGGCAGTGCCCATTGTCCTCTGTCTCCGGCTTGACCCCAATGCCGTAGGGATGCAATTAGCCAGGACGACAACAACAGTTACGGTTTCGATTTGGGTTTTTGGGGGCAGGCCAGTGCTTCGATTCATAAATAGTTTCGCAAGTCGTAGTGGGTGCTATATTGCGGTCGGTTTGTCAGGCCTCCACTTGAGCAAGATGAATTGGCAAATTGCTGGAGAGACTCTTGAGCCCCGAAATTGTGTTATAATCAACTCATTAGGGTCGCCCCGACATTTCGGAAATTGAATGGATTGGGCAGAAATTGGAGGCATTTTCACCTTTTAATTGAAGGCATTGTCTTGAATCTAATAAAGACTAAAGGAATCGATATTTAAGTAAATTTGGACCGAGTAACTTTATTTTTTATGAAAATATTGAATAATGATACCACATTCTTAATAGATTTTATATTTCTTCTTTTATAAAGCATTATTTTGATAGCTTTCTTTGCCATTTCATAAGCTTTCACCTCCTGTTTTCTAAGCAATTTACCGCCAAAATGATTGATAAAGTTTGTTGGCTTCAAAGACATGTCAAAGCTGGGAAACAGCGCTCGACCAAAAATGTCCGTTGCACCCGGGAAAAGTTTTTTGAGTGTGCGTGGGTGCGTCTGTAGTCAGGAGTTGGGCATTGCATTAGCCCTGGTCAAAGTTGCTCCTGCACTATCCTCCCCCGCTGTCCTCAGACAATCAGGGCAAAAGCGAGCATTTTGTTAAGACAATTTCCATTGACACATAAGATTGCAATTGGAATTGGCAAAAAAAAAAAGAAAGGAAGTGCACTTGAAGTGACTGTCTCTTCTGCTGATAAGTCCTGAATGATGTTTCCCGCAGCGAAAAGCTAACAACATGGTCAGGCAATGGCTTAAAGCCCAAGTAGAGTAAACTGTGAAATATTTAAATAACATTTCATGCCCGGCGGGAAATCAGAGGATGAGAGATGGCAAAGGGGTCGCGGCATTGTTTGCTGGACTTGTTCTTGTTGTGGTTGAACGTGAGTTTATATATATATAACACAATGTATAAACGTGTGTGTGTGTGCCGCAATCAACGATGCGTATCGCTTAAAAAATGTAAAATTTATAGTTTATGCAAATATGAAAAATGCAACTGGCAATGCATAAAAATGCGCACGCACGCAAACTGAGCGACGTTGCTCGGGAAATAAACGCATACTTACACACACAATGCACACCCCACACACCCCACATACCCCACACACACCGCACACATGCAGACATTAAATTACGGCCAAAGTTGGGCGACAGTTGCGTGGTTTATCGCTGACGGGGCAGGCACTCAATTGTTGACTTTTGCTCAAGTGGTTAAATTAAAGGCCCAAGAAAACCAATACACGGCAATTTATGTTCGAGGAATTCGCGGCATTTATATAAATGACATTTTCTTTACAAAAAAAAATGCATATTTAATGGGGACAAAAATGCGAAATATGCAAATAAAACACTCATTGAATTCGTTGAAATCAAGGGAAGTGAATATTAAGTGTATCTATCTGGACAAAGTTTTTATAATAAAAATAAATATTTAGCTTAATAGGTTTATGGGGTAATTTATAATAGTAAATCTATCCCTGAACATTTAAGAAAAAGATGGAAATCTCTTGAAACGCTTGGCAATTAGAGACATTTTTCATTAAGATTCACTCTGCAGAACTCAGTCAAGTTTTCCCCTTCAAAGTTCAACTCCAGTTTTTTGGTTTGAAAACGTCGTTTTTTCAGCTGGATCACGTCAATGCCGATTCCGAGCATTGCACGTCGCAGACCCCGCCACAAAGACTGAGAAAATTAATGGAAAAAAAAAAGAAAAGGCGGTTAGGTGCCTAGTTACAGCTACAGTTTCAGTGGCTGCCAACCGCAGTTGGTTACGGATTTAGGTTTCGGATTCGGCTTCGGATTCGGATACGGATCCGAGCTTCCTGGTTCGCCTGGGCCGCCATTTAAGGAACGTGCAATGAGCAGCTGCAACGTCTGAAGCGCCGCAAATGCCATTATTGCGTTGCATTGCTTTCCGTCTTCGGTCTTTCGGTTTGCCGCAAGTAAATTGCTATGAAACGCCCACCCTGGCGAACCCACACACATACAGTCACATGCTCTCTGGCACACACACATTGAAGGCAGACTGCATGCAAGGACCTTCTGGCAGTTGCAATCATTTCGGCATGAATCACGTTTGATACGCACGAATTACCTTTTATGCGAAATTGAAATTATAATTTGTGCACGGCCTTGTAAATGCTACGTCGAGGACCTTCCTCCCGTCACCTTTCATTCCCTCTCCCTCCATCAGCCTCATGTACTTCACACACACACACAGTCGAGGAAATCAAAGACCGGCTAGAACGTCGGCTAACCACAAGGAGCAACTTTTCAGCGATTGTTTTCTCTTTTCTTTATTTAATTTTTTTTTCCTATTGCCTTAGCTGCACTTTAAAAATTTATAAAATATTATTTCTTTATTATTTTTATTATTGAAAATAAGTTCTTAGAGTAATATTTCGGTACTATAAGTTCTTTTAATCGTTTTAATATTTATATTTTTATTAAAGTTTCTTTTAGCAAGTATTAACATTTTCTCTAAGTGCCATTTTGTTGTATTAATGCCTTTTCCTTAACACTTTCCAAGCTGTTTGTTTATAAATTTTGGGTTGCCTTGGCTGAAAAAACAGAAGCTGTCTTTGGCCAGAGACTTAGCAGCCGCTGTAAGCGGCTTAAGCGGCTAGACAAACCCGCGAAAATGGCGCTGGGCTTTTAGCTAATTGCTCTCTCCATTTAATTTGGCTCGTTGCAGGAGGCTGAAACCGCCATTACCGCCATGAATGGCCAATGGCTGGGCTCGCGCTCGATACGCACAAATTGGGCCACCCGAAAGCCGCCGGCAACCAAGGCAGACAGTGAGTATCCTTATCCTTAGAGTCTCAGAGTCCTCGTCCCGCATTCCACTCACCGATGTCATTGTCACCGCCATGTTAATCTCCGCTCGTTGCAGTGAATGCCAAGCCGCTGACCTTTGACGAAGTCTACAACCAGAGCAGCCCCACCAATTGCACTGTCTACTGTGGCGGCATCAACGGAGCCCTGTCCGGCTTCCTCAACGAGGAAATACTGCAGAAGACCTTCTCGCCCTATGGCACAATACAGGAGATACGGGTCTTCAAGGACAAAGGATATGCATTTGTGCGGTAAGTGGAGTGCGATAAGAAAAACATTAGGATATTCTTGGTTACTTGGGCAGGCATAAATAATATTGTTAAGCTGGTTTATTTAATTAAACAATTATTTCTTTTTATCCATTAAATTTGATGTAAACTTCTTTTCAACTGCAGCTTCATAAATAAAATAAAACATAAAAGCGATCGGGCAATCGATCAAATAATAGAGCAATCAATGAGCGTTCCCACCTCCGCTTAATATTTTTTTTGTTGTTGTGTGCCCTCAAAGGTATACTACATTAACCCTTTGTTGCCCGCCATTTTGATTTGGCTGCTCTCTATGTGCGTGAACTGCGGTCTGCGGTGTCGCTTCATTCCCATTGTCGTTGTCGTCGTCGCTGAGTGCACACACGCCCGCCACATCAGCATGTCATTGTGTGCGTTAGCCCCCTCCATCCGAGCCACCCGCCGTTAATAAATCAACAACACTTTTACACTCAACAACAACAATCACAACAACAAGAACAGCAGCAAAAACGAGAGGCAAATTTGAAGTTACAAACAGAACAATGAACCGCAATAACAGCGACAACAACGATGGCAGGGCAAAAAAAAGGGAGTACAAAAAAATATTCCCACATTGCATCGAGTGAGCAACAAACAAAAAAAAAAAAGGAGAGGAGCAAGGACCAAGGAGTCGGTGGTACCGTAGGAGCATTGGTTGTGGCGCCGGTGGTGCTATGGTGTCGGTGGTGGAGATCGCAGCTGCCGTCACGAATGCTGATAGGGTTTTAATGGCAGCCGTTGGCCCACGACGAACCGAGCTCACCCCACCGCAGCCAAACGGCGGGATATGGATATGCTTTATGCACTTGAAGAAAATATTACAAAATTAGGCTCCATAAATTAAATTACAAAAACTACAACCTACAAAATAAGGAAGGATTTGTTAGAATTTTAATTTTTAATTAAATAAAGAGAGGAAAGAGAGATCGATTGTTGTTTAAAATTATTAAAGAAGACTAGGACCTTTTTCTAACCAAGATCTGGTCTTTGGGGTCTAAAGCTAAAGAAATGTAGACCTTGATCTTGTATTTACATTTATTTTTCTATATATTTTAGGCAAGTGTAGGAGGCAAGTGTGATGAGGTTGGGGTAACAAACGCATTGCAGTTGCCGGCCATGTCCATGGGCGCCTTTTGTGCACTGCTCCAAAACTCATTTGTGTGTTGCAAACGTGATGCAAAAAAGCGAGGGGAGATGGTTGCTGGCGAGAAAGTGAGCAGGGAGAAGCGGCAGGAGTAGAAGGAGGGGCCAGGAGCAGAGCGGAGGCATTGTTTGGCATTTTGTAACATAATGAGCTCGGGGACTACAAGTGCAGCAGCAGCTGTGGCAGAGTTGCTGCATCATTATAGCCAATCCGGCAACAACGAAACAATTCCACAGACGCTTGTACCACTTTTGCGCTTTGCTGCCGCAGCGGGTTAAGCGGAAATTAAACCAGGCCAATCTGCTAAATGTAAAAAAAAGAAGTAAAGAGAAACTTGAGTAAAAGAAATAAACTCCAGCTAAAATAATTCAACTTCTTTTTATAGAGGTGGCATAAACAAAAGTAGTTGATAATATTATTAGTTGCCTAATAAAATACCTCATTCAAGCTTAGTTTGTGCCAATGAACCCGCTTAATTATAAACATGTGTTTTTTATTGTCTTTTACAGTTTCTCTACCAAGGAGGCGGCCACCCACGCCATCGTGGCCGTGAACAATACAGAGATCAACCAACAACCGGTGAAGTGTGCGTGGGGCAAGGAGAGCGGCGACCCCAACCACATGTCGGCTATTGCCGGTCAGGCTCTGGCCCAGGGATTCCCCTTTGGCTCAGCGGCGGCAGCGGCGGCCGCAGCGGCTGCCTACGGACAGCAGGTGGCCGGATACTGGTACCCGCCGGCACCGACATATCCGGCGGCAGCTCCCGCCAGTGCCCTGCAGCCGGGTCAGTTCCTGCAGGGGATGCAGGGCTTCACCTATGGTCAATTCGCCGGTTACCAGCAGGCCGGCTATATGGGGTGAGTTGAGCCATCAATAACTAAATTTTATTTTAATTTATAAAACATGAAAAAGTTATATGAGAATTTCGAAAAATGTTATTGTTGATCTAAATTTGTATGCAATTTTGATTAGTTTTTAAGAAGCTTAAATTAATGCAACTCGGTGATTTAAATTAAATTATTGCAGAATGGGCGTCCAGCTGCCTGGAACCTGGCAGAGTGTGCCGCCGCAACCGCAGCTGGCCAGTGCAGCGGCCGCCACCGCACCGCAGATCACACAGAGCGTGGGCAGCGCCCTGCCCCCCGCGGCCGGAGTGGTGGCCTATCCGATGCAGCAGTTCCAGGTCAGTCCGCAGGTGAGTTGGCATGGCTTTGAGGATTTCGCTGGTGCCTAACGCTTGTGAATCGCTTAGCTGGCGGAGGATGAGTGGCTGGCGCCCAGTTTGCTCGTGTAGCTGCCATGAGGGATGGCCATGTATCCCACACAGCATCACCAGCAGCAGCAGCAGCAGCAACAGCAGCAGCCGCAGCAACATGAGCAACAGACGTCCGGAGAGTATGTGAAGGAGCCGCCCTACCAGCAGCAGCACCATCCCCTGCAGCAGCCCCACAGTCACTCCCATCACCACCCCCATCATCACCAGCAGCAGCAGCATCACTACATTCCCCAGCTGTACTATCCATCGCATTGGGTGCAGCAGCAGCAGCAGCAACTTCCGCAGGTAGCAAACAACGAGCAACAGCCGCAGCAGCAGCAGCCGGCGGCGGTGTCGCAGGTTTACGGCCTGCCCGAAGTGTAAAAGGCTTCAGGATTATGTGGCCATGGACGCACATATTTCCCCGTATGCCTCGGAACCCAGATCTAACCCTAGACTAAGTACTCAAGACCGATGCAAGTGCAACAGCAACAACCACACTGGCCAGACAGTGCAATAGACATAATTCCAGTTGATCTAATCAAGCGAAGTCGAGGTGGGAGATTGCCCAAAACCAAACCCAAAGTTATGAATGTGTGTTATTTGTGTCTATTTTTGGTGGGGACCTGAACCCCCAATCAAAGCAGTAAACCAGACAAAAAGTTTAAGAAAAACAGAAACCAGAAGCTCTAAATGTATTTTAGTAGGTATAAACATATACACGAGTATAAAGGTATGTATATACCAGAGTAAGAATAGAGTGGGTGCTATATAAAGAAGGTAGTTATGATTTACCAAGGCTTGCCGTTTCACATTGCAAAAGAAAAAGGATACCAAAGTATGAGCGGAAGTAAAACAAACGCTAATTATTAAGCCTAGTCTAAGCCGAAATAAATAGTCTAAGCCCAGAGAAATAGAAAATATTAAGTGGGAAAAGTGTTTCGTTGACTGAAAAATTCGTTTTGACAATTTTCAACCCATGCATCTTCGATGCCGTTCACAAGTCCGATTGTTGCCATGAGTTGACTTCGCAATAGAACCCATTCCGACGATCATTTCACGCCGATATATCGATATATTGACGTGCATAGGCATAAGAGTTAGCAAGTAGTCCAGGGCAAGTCAAATGTTCCACCATTAGCTTCGATCAGTTGATTCACAATGATTATGAGTGTTTATCCAGCATTATCTAGAGAAATATCAACGTAAGCGTAACTGAGTTAAGCACCGACAACCACACACCAGAAATCGAGTAGAAAATTGCACTGAATACCGAACGAGCCCGATGGATCGAGCCACAGATTGTACCAGTAGATGGACCCGTGACTAGATAAAACTATATATACTGAACGATATTCAAACCAGAGGCTACACACCCACACTGAGCACAACCATACACCCACACACAGCGTATTCATGTATCGGTGTTTGTGTAACGTGTAAATGTACTAAGGGGTATACCTACATATAAGAAAAACAGGAACACAAATGGGCAGCAGGCAACAGCAGCATAAATCTAGCGAAATATTTAGACAAGGATATGATGAGAAAACGTGTAGCAAAAGCAAAATACAAAATGTAGTCAATGTTTAGCTAAGAATCTTAAGTGTAACTGTAAAACTATACACTAAATGTAAACCTAAACACAATTATTTATGGTATTTACAGAGGCGAAAACTGCAAATGAGAAATTTTGAAATGAAAAACGGAAGAGAAACCAAAAACGAAAACGAATACAAATTGTAAACTATTTTATACATACCGAAAAACCAAAAATGTATGAATCAAAATTAGAGAACTTTCAATTGGGTCAGGAAGGGGGCAAAGGAGAGGAAAGTAGAGTAGAGCCAAGGAAAAGCGAGTCTAATTTCTATAAGTTGTGATGAGAGCAAATCGATGTTACGGACAAAGGAAACTGATTTATTTTTTCAACTTGGCCTGACGTGTTTTTTGAGAGCCATCGACAAAACTGTGCATCGGCGAATGCATCACTTTACATATATACAAATCTATATATATACATATATATATATATATATATATATATATATACACCTATATACTAAATGTTATTTGAGCAGACAAGAAAACTGTGTGCGAGAGCAAGCAAGCTATGCATATAAATATAAATATATATATAAATAATTAAAAGTATATGGCGAAACCAATGGAAATTAAATAAAATTGTAGCTGAACATATGTTGGAAATGTTGGAAAATTATGGTAAATTACGAAATAAATATAATGAAGCGATGGAAGAGGAGAAAGTGAAGGGAAAAATCAGAAATACTCTACGACATATACATAATAGCATAATTATATTTAATTATGTAAACTTAGTTACGGTGTAAGCAAAAGGAATATAAATAAATGATTCAATGTTGTGTATGTACATATAAAGTATATTTAAAAAAAGAAACCAGATCTATATAAAAAAAATCCATATAATTACAAACAACAGCAATATGCGCGCATAACAAAGGCAGACTAACTAAAAGAAAATTGTATTAATATTTGCATATAAATGTAAAAAGCCCAATGCAAACAAAGCTGCCGGAGAGCATCTGTTTTGCATAGGCCGGCGCAGACATATGATAGATCATAAAATAGCCCCATCAGATCCAACCAACCAACCAGCCCAACAACCCAACAACACAGAGTCAAGCACACTGCGGATATAACATATAATTGCATTTGTGACAGCAGCAAACATACATATATACATACGAGCAGCATACATATATATGGTAAAAAGTGAATTATGAAAGGTGTGCAAGCAAAATGCCATAATTATGTTAAGCGCCTATCAAAAGCCTATCCAATTCAATCAAAGCCGAACGAAGCCCCCAGAACAAACTCACAAATACACACTCACTCAGCTATGGACAAACACACACACACACACAAGCACACTTGAGTGTGTGGCTGCAAACACGTTAATATATGCATAGAAAAAGGCGCTGCCAGCGATTGCAGCCGTGCAAGAGAGAAATAATCAAATAAAATGGAAAAATGTTAATCAAAAAACAGAAAAACAAATTAAAAAAAAACAAAAAAAAAACAAGTACAATGACGTCTTTTTATTTCACAAGTGGTGTAAAGTGGAACAAAGGTTTAAATAAATTATTAAGAGGTTTAATAAGGTAAGTTAATTAGGGAATGTGGAGTCGGAAATAGAACAAGTTTTGTCAACGCTAAAAACAATTGGAAATCAAATTGATTTTTGAAAAATTTGTAGTTTCTTTTTAAAATTATTTTAAATAGTAAATAAAATTCTTGACCTATTCTAAACAATTTCGAATTAATGTATCAAACGTTATGGCAATTATTATTGTCAAAGCGGTTAATAATGTGGAGCCATATTTAATTTATAGGTTTTTACAAAGTTTTCTCTTCAATATATTTTTAACCGATACTCCCAAGCATTCCCGAGCACAATCTCAATATTTTCAGGACCTTAAATTATTGTTAATTTCCACCCAGTCTCCCCGATGGATCGCATGGAATTATTTCAGACCGATAAACTGCAAATGAATTTGCAATGCTAATTGGAAATAAGAGAAAAGCTGCTCCGAAGTCACCCGCCCACATTGGAACCCGATGCATTTCTGCCCCGCATTTTGGTGCTGCTGCCATTGTGCACTTTTTCCCTCACCCGTGGGCAATCGTTGCACGCCAGTCACGTAAAATCAAAATTTCCCCCCCACATGTGAGTGCACCTTTCAACTGCGGGGTACGTACATGCATATACAAAAAAAAAAAAAGAGTCTCTGGCATTGCGGCTCATTGCACAACGGAACTGTACAATTTCAATATTTTACTGCATTTTCCACTTTGGCCGTGTCTCTGGACCGCCGGCCCCTGTTATCCTGTCCGCTGGTCTGCCTCCTGCCAGAGGACAACCAGTCGTCGTTTCAGTGCCAGTGGCAGTGGCAGTGCCATTGCCTGTTTAATATGCGCGCACAAAACGGCACGGTGGCGAAATATAAATAAAACAAATAGGCCCCCGTTTCACTCTTGCCCCCACTCCCTCCCCTCCTCGGGCGCACAATGCATAAAGTGCACATGTTACTCATACGCCCCGTTGGCCGCGCAAACGCAACTCGCATCGAGCTCGAAATTGGGCGCCCCTTGGATTCATGAATCAGCCAAAATGATGGTCGGGGGAAGCTTTTCATTCGGCACTCTTGAAAGAGAAGGGGCGGGGGGCAGGGCTTCTTAACAAACACTTGACTCACTTTACAGCAGTTTTAGTGGATAATTCTTTATACCGCCCTGCCATGCAAAATATTTGGCAATAAAAACTAAGCGCATAAAATTTCACTGCATCGTGTCTTTGTTTCTCTCCCTGCTCTTTAGAAATTGTTTGGATTTTGTTTCCTTTTTTTTTTTTTTGCCCTTGTATATATATTTTGTGCAGTGCATTATGTACGGTAAAAGGACAACTGCAGAAGTGCACCTAAGCTGCCAAATATAAAAACTCTCTGCTGCCGCGTAGAGTTTGCATGAAGATTTTCTGGGGCTTATTACGAGGGATATTCTCCAGCCAGCCAGAACCTTAACGATGCCCGAAGGCTGAATGCCTTTGTCTCTCGTGTTTCCCCAACTTCCCGAATCGCAATTCACCTTCCACCTTTTTATGCTCTTTTAATAGCACTTGTTTAGCAAGCAAACAACGCTGGCAACTTAAAAAACTCTGTCGCTGCTCCATGCTAAAAATTTTTATAGCAAAACTTTGAGTGTTTGTCTGTTTTATTAACCGTGCCTGGCTGCTGCCTCATCCGACTCCGTGGCGCTGCCAAAGTCAAAAGCCCAAGTTTTCGTCCTGTCTTATTCATAACACACACACACCCATATATGCGGGGACTGCACTTATGCTGCACCACCACCAGGGCAGGACTCTTAGCGAGCATTTTATGTGTGTGAGCCGTCTTGGCGAGGGCTGCTGCATTAATTGATGGCAGTCCTTACTCCTCCAGATGTCCTAACTAAGCTAGCCATGATCGATGTCAGCGCGGATAGTAAAAGGGATTATTTTTAATCAGATTTCATAAAAAAATGTAAGCTTATTTAAATTTTTAATTACAAATAAGTCTGCTCTTAAGTTTTTTTCAAAATATATACAAACAAAAGCCTAACTTAGTTCTCTATTTATTCTTTAAATTCATTAAATCAAACCCTTTTTTTGCCCCGTGTGATTTTCACCCGCCATTAAGCTGCAATATCTCTCCACCATCGCTGCACCACCATCACCATCAGCATCGCCAGCACCGCAACGACAAACAACAATCTCGTTTTCAGAAAGCAAACGCTAATGACAAAATGCTAAAATTTGCCCAGCACTTGCCGGCGGTAAAGTATAGGGGAAGGGGGGGAGTGCTGGCGCTAGAGGGGGCGTTGTCTGGAAGTGCGGCCAAAAACCGCACAAGAGCGAGGCATCCATTAATTTTCGCACAACCGCAAAATTCAAAATTGTTTATAAAGCTACGCAGGATGCGGCAACGGCAGCGGTGGCATCGGTGACACGTGCGGAGATAGAGAGCAGTCCTGCTATCTCACTACCTTAACCCGTTCGTGGCCAAGGACAAAAAGCGAAGCGCAGCGGACCCAAATTGAAATGAATTTTAACGAGTCAAAGCGAAAAGTGTCAGCAAGTAAGGGGCGTTCTCTGGGAAAATATCTAGCTGAAGCTGCTTATCCCAAAAGCACGGAAAGAAATTTTAAATAAAATATATCTGTCATATCTATGAAATAAAGTAAGCCTTAAAAAGTCCTCTCAGCTTACTTATATTTTTAAATTCTAAAAATATTCAATATTCTATTGACTTTCAATTTGATCGTTCAAAGTTTTGAATCCTTTTGTTCCCAGTGCACTCTCTATTTATCTTTGCAATCTCACTCCCTGTCGGTTCGCTGCGGGGCCACTAAATTATACGCAGCGTGGAGAAGAGGATGCTCCAACTCAAATCTCACTCCTCTTCACTTTATTCGAAATCCTGTTCCCATAGTCCTGGCCCTGGTCCTGGTCCGATGCGTGGGCCAAGTTTTTAGCGCGATATCCGACGGAGCTTCCTCTAAAATTGCGAACAAATTACGCAGAAAACTATTATCGTTAGGAGCATATGTGACGCCGTTAGACAGAAAGCCAAAGGCCCGATCCGGAGCAGGGCTAACACACCTAACACACCCGGCACCCGGCACCCGGCGCACCTCCCTGCTGCTGGCGGCCATGGCAAATGACTATGACAACGGCGCTTGAGTACCTAAATGCAGCTCCAGGACTCTGTTACCCTTCCCACTCTCCCCGCCGAGCTCTTTTTGGCACACTCTTCATGCTGGGCCCGCCTATTTAGCTCTGTCGCATGTGCGACGCGGTGTGGTGGGTGCGCGGTATGTGCATATGCAATAACCGCCAGTGCCACCAGCGGCTCAACCGCCTCCTCTTCCTAGTTCAAAATCAACGGCACCATCAGCATCACCAGCGCTGTAGCGCGGTTGGAGCCATCACAAATGGACGAGCTCGCTTATTGTCTGCTTTTGTGTGCATCCCGAAAACCTCCTGGCTCCGTCCGCGCTCCTCGATCGCTGGCTGCGTGGAAATTGCTTTGCCATGTTAATGTTGTTAGTTGATTTCAGTTTTGGCTTTCAAAGCCGCCGTTAACCCGGGGAGTGGACAATAGGGTCACGGCGGAAGGGAACATTCGGAGGTGGGGAGCGAAAACAGCGAGTGCTAGAGGGCTGGTTTTCAGGTGATGCCCGCAAAGAGCATTGCCAAAATTGTTAAATACATGCTATCCAAAAACACCCAGCATGAGGGCACACATGAGAACACTGAGAAAAAAGTTGTATATTACCATAAAATAATTAAAGAGTTATCTTTTGAAGGAATAAATTTATCAAATATTTTACAGCTTGCAAATTGATAAGGTAGAAGGCCTTCTTTTTCACCAATAAATCCACTAATACTTCCCTCTGTGTAAGTTTATGCCTTTGAGTTATGATCTGGCTTCTAATTTTGGTAGGTGGGTGGCACAGCTACACCCACTTTTAATGGTAATAAAATCTAAAGCTGCTTTTGAGCGGTCATGAATTCGTTGAACCGTTGCAGCTGCTGGCGCTGCTGGCTCTAACGGAAGGCGGAAGGCGGCTGATGTCCATCCGGCGGTGCGACAAAATGGCCGCTGTGCGCAACGGAAGTGCACTAAACTAAACTAAGCCAAATTAATTGCCAGCTGTGGTTTAATGTGCCAAACAAAACTTTGATTGCGCCCCCAGATACGAGATGCGAGCCATCCGAGCTGCATCATTTGCATATTGAACGCAGTCCTCAGGGAAAGGCTCCCCCAAAAAACATGAAGTATTCGACATGGAAAGCTATTAATTCCTACCGGAGACTTTATTAAAGACAAACACACACATACAGCCTGTTTGAAACTGCAATAAAACCGGTCAAAACTTAACCCAGCCCGCAAAACATCTAAGCCCCCAAAAAAAGGAGTCAAAAAAGGAAAAAACCTACGAGCATAAAAACAGGAAGAGAGTGCACAGTGCCACAGTACGGGAAAATTAATGGTTCTGACATGGAATTTTAATAAAAATGCTTGCGTCTAGATAGCGAGAGGTGAAAAACTGGCCAGATGCAGACTGCTAATGCTCCTCCAGCTACCGAACCGAACTCAACTGAGCTGCATTGCACTGCCACTGCCACGGAAGCTGCTGCTGCTGCTAGTGCTGGTGCTGTCATAATGCTGCAATTGTTCATTATCCACTAATGAACAAAAAGTGTGTGAAAATCGCACAGACAAAAACCAAAATGAAGAAAATGCCGCACAGCTCGCTGAGAGAGATGAAAAAGGAACAGCGGCGAGTGACACACGAGGGGGTTAAGGCCTGCGGATGGGGGTTAAGAGAAAAGGAAGGCCTGGAACACGTTGCTCTGTCAGCAGGCAAAGAGTCAGTGCACTGAGGGAAATTGGTATAATTATTATAAAATTATTTCATAACAATTTAGGTAATAATATTTTCCACCTGGTTGGAATTCCAGCAGAGATATGACTGATTAGAACCCTTTTTAAGACCCAGTAAATTTGGCTTTAATTCCTTTTACTATGAAAATAGTTCGGCAAGTGCAGGTGCCAGCCAAGTAGCATTGGCTTTAATTTGCGCTGCTTCTCGCACGTTTTCTTATTTGCCATCTGTATTGAGGCCAGGAGGCAGGGGACCAAGACTGGGGGACTAGGACTGGGATGTGAAACTGAAACGGCGGAGGGGGGGGCCAGGTCTGGAGGCCGGACTCTCTGAGGGTCGGCAGACGTTGCTTTGAGTGCATTACGTGGAATTTTTGAAGCACTTAAGCTGCTCCATAAAATGCTGCCGTTGCTGCTCCTGCTGCTGGTGCTCCTGGTGATGCCGTTTGCTTTGCAGCTCCCAGCTTTCACGTGTGACAGTTGCAGTTGCCGCCGCCCAAGTTCTGTGCCTTTGGTTCTCGGTCCTCGGTACTCGGTCCTCGCCTCTCGGCGGATCCTTGGTGGGTCGCTGGCGCTTTTGTCTGCGGCGTTTTTGTTCGTGCGGCATTTTCTAATGACAATTGTTTTGCAATATAAATTGCACAAGTGCGCAATATTTGCCTTTGTTTATGCGAAAACTTCAGCATTGCCTAGACTCATGCGCCTGACACCTGCCACCTGCCCACCAAAACAAAAAAGGCGAACACACACACACAGAACACTCAGTACCACCCAGATATATAGAAGAAATCCAACCATTTGTCTCGCTCTGCACGTCTCTTGTGCTTGGCCAAGGACCCTACCTCTTTCTCTCCTTTATCTCTGCTCGCAATTCTCGGAGGCTGCTGTTTCTTGTTTCATTACGCCGACAGAAATTCCCGAAAGCCAAGGCAAGGCAGCGAAGCAGCAGTTGCATTCAATGGCTTTTGTAGGGGTCGTGATATTTGCTAAATTAAATGACGTGAGTTATGAGATACGATTGTTTGACCGGGTTTCTCTTCAGCCCCAGTACACAAGACATGTTGCAGGTTATGACACACAAAGAAATAGGAGAATTTCATTTGGTAATGGCTCAACTGAAGTCTAAAGTGAACTTGATATCTTTGTTACTGATTAAAGACGCAGTCATGTTGCAGAAATTAAATATATAATATTTTCGGGCAAATAACAAAAAGTATAGATTAAATATTTTTTTCTAGAAATAATTATAGCCTTGTTGTTATTAAATTCAGTTTAAAAATATAATAAAATAAGATGAAACCATTGATTAAGCTGCTGCTATACCGGCAATAGCCTGAGCCGCAAAATACTTGACGTCCGCATCCGTGTCCACGTTCAGTTTGTCAAGAGTTGGCTTCACTAGCACCTCTATGACAGTGCCCTCCAGGAAGGGGGAGATCTTCTGCAGGGTTTTTGCCACATTAAAACGAACATTGGCAATGGGATCGTCGGCGAGTAGGATAATTGTGGGCAGCAGCAGTCTGGCGGTCATATCTGTGCCGCAGACCTCGACCAAAACGCTCAGGCCGAACAAGCAGGTTATTCTGTGCAAATAGTTCATGTTATCCGACATACCCAGGATCATGGGAATAATGGCCTGCTCCGCCCAGGGAGCTCCGAACAGCTCAACCAATTTCTTCATGTTCAAAACGGCAGCCTCGCGAATGGCAAACACATGATCATTGAGCCAGCGCTGGCACAGATGGCTCAGCTTCTGGTCAAAGAACTTCGGTCCCAGCTCACCGGCCAGAGCGGGCATGTACTCAACGATGGCCAGTCGCACCCGCCACTTGGAATCTTCGGCCAGCTCAATGATTGCGGGCAGCAGCGACTCCGACACCTGCTGGATGCCAATGATGTCGTTGATGCTGTGCAAATTGGAGACAATGTTCATCCGCACTTCCGGGCAGTTGTCGCCGAGTTGAATGAGGAATAGGTGGAGCAAGTGCTGCATGGTTTCGTAGGCCCCAAGTATGGGACTTAGTCCCATGATGACCGAGGCCAGAGCCGACCTGACATGCGAATTCAGATCCGAGACCAGCTCGCGAACACAGGGCAAAATGCAGCTGAGTATGAGCTGCACCTGGTTGGCCTTTGTTAGATTAGCACAGAAATCCCTAACCTTAGAGGCCATAGCAGCGCGTACCTCAGCCTCTTCATCCTTGAGCAAACACTCGAAGGTTGTCAGCAGGCAGACTTCAGTAATCTCCGGACCCACCGCCATCTGCAAGTCCACCAACTGATCGGCGACCATACAGCGCACGCGCCACGACGAGTCGCTGGCGCACTGACGCAGTGTGGGCAAGACCAGCTGCGAAGAAATTCTATTAACATTTAAGGATCTTAGCTAATTAAAATAGCTTACATTTTCCACATCGTCCTGCGGCAGAATCTGGGCAATGCCGACGCAAGCTTCAACGACCAGCAGACGAACAGAGTCCTGAATGGAGAAAGGAATCAAAATGTTTATAGATCTTCCCATAGTGTAAAAGATTTTGGCTCACCTGCTCATCATTAGCCAACTGCACAAGGCTGGGGATCAGGTCCGACTTGAGGTACTCAGTCTCCACGACCTTGCAGAACTCGCCCAGCTTACTGGCCGCCGCTCGTCGCACCATGGCCGTCCCGTCGTGGCACAGCTTAAGGAAGCTGGCGCGCAGTTCTGCCTTCACGGAATGAGGGACACGAGGATAGCAGACCGAGAATAGGGCGCAGGCCGAGGTGCGCGACGGGATCCAATCGTTCGAGACGAAACGTTGTAGTGTCGGAACCACATGGATCTCCAAATCCTGGGCGCTGTGCTCAGCTGCCACGGTGCGCAGAGATTCGACGGCCTTGTCTCGCACCACGCTCTCCTCGACAGTGGCCAAACTCTCGAGGGGTGGAAGCAAGTACATGGCAAATCCGGGACCGCCCACGAGACTTGTGAACTTTCCCAGTTGATCAGCCAGAGCCAGCAAGACCTCAACATCGTAGATGGCCTCGGTGAGGAAGGGTATCAGCTCGGAACGAGTACGCTCCTCGCCCAAGGCCTGAGCAATGGTGGACAGCTTCTTGATGGAGTTTAGGCGCACTTGCAAATCGTCGTTGTTCAACTGATCGATAAGCATGGCTATGGGATATAAGGAGTCGTCCGCAGATGACATATTTTCTAGTTTTTTATTCTGGTTAAAATCAAATCGTTTTTTTTTTTAATTTACTGATTTGATTAGTTTTCCAATGAAAATTAGATGATAAAAGATATTCATAGAATTGACATATCTATCTGAAATACAGAAAATCCGAATCCGAATAAATTTTGTGGAAGTGGAAACCCTTGTCCTAAATGGAGTCCGTTCTTGGTCTCCGAGTTACTTCAAGGTGACCGCTATGTTTTAAAATCACGTTATCCCTATTTGCATATCATTTCGCAAGTTAACGGCAAGTGCGCTTACCGCAAAAACACACACACACACATATATATATATATATATATATAAAGGACTCAATTCCTTTAGCGGTGCGTGCATGTTTCTGCGGTTCTGGCAGTTGCAAGTTGTAAGTTGGCAGGCTGTCCGAGGCTGGTTTTAAAACCCGCTTCCAGCACTGCAAATATGTAACGTTCTGCTAATGTAAATTTATTGTTAAGCAAAAAGTGGGAGGTGAAAGAGGGGAGGGAAGGCCACGAACCACGTACGCCACGCAGGTCAACGAGGCAACCGCAGCGGCACCGCGGACGGGGCCCACGACACCACCACTAGCTCCGCCACCCCAGGAAGCGCCATCACCCACATTTACACTGGCAAAATAAGGGGATTTTTTTAAACATAGATAACAATTTCAAAACAGTTATTCCTCAAGTTTTATTTATTTTAATATTTTTAAAAAATATTTTGAATTTTTATCTGTAAAAAAAAATTTACTGATACATTTATACAACACGTAATATTATTTTTGTAGCCCAGTTTACATATTTTTTAAGCATTCCTTGTAATTTCGGACTTATTTTTTCCTTGTGCACCTCGACAGTCACCTGGCAAGTGCAGCGGCGTACAATAAATCTAATTTGCGTCGCATTTAATGACTTTGTCCAGGCCCCGGCTTCGGCCTTCGTTGCCAACATCAGCGTGAAAATAGTGGGGTTCCCGAATGCTGGCCCCTAACGAGGCACTAGGTGGATACCCGGGCTCCTGGCCAGGTGGACAGCAGATGGAGATGGTGACGGAGACGGAGCTGGGGCAGCAGAAGAGATGACATTTAAGCCGTTGTTGCCCGGACAATTTGAGCCAGCCATATTTTTAGGGAGCGTCGCAAAGTGCCTCATAAAGTAATTAAAAGCGTTAATTAGAATTATGTGACAAAGTTAATGCGCAAATTGTAAATTAAACAATGCGCGAAAAAGTTGTTTGGCTTTTAGGGTTGTGCTTTTTAAGCGTTAAGCCATCCAACTAGTATGATGGGCTTGTTAGCTGGACTAACAAGAACGAGTTTCAGCTACCTCTCTCTTGCTTTCATCAAAGGAAATTCCGCTGACTAAGCTAAAAAAAAATATATTTATATTTCTATATTCAATAAATTGTCGCTCATCTGACAAATGAATGCTTAAATTGGGGGCCTGACAAGAGTATCCCCAAAAACACACATGGGGCGTATTTATCAAGTATTGGAAATGAAAAAAGTAAAGTAAACCAGACACCATGAGTCTGTGAAACATTTGTTGCTTCGTGATTTGGCTGATTTATACTCTTTGATATGTGTGCCTCGAGCTCAGTCAAAGGGCCTGATAATCGAGAGTGGAGCAGCTTCATTGGCCTAATAAAATGCATGAAACGGCCGTTTTATCTTCAAGTTAAATTTATGTCTAGCATAGAAACTGAGATTATGCGAGGAACTTTAAGAATTTTATTTGAAAAAAGAGTGAAAAAAATATAGATCTTTAAGATTTATACATTTAATAAACACAAATTAAGCATTGTAAAATATTAAGCAACCTCTTTTTTAATTATTTCACAAAAAGCATCACCCATAAACCCATAACATAAAATACTTCAGTTAGTCCAAACAGTAATTTGCATATTTGATCCCATCGAGCCTGCCATACTTTAATATTTTTCCAATGTGATGGCATTTTTGATTTACAGCCCGCCAAGTAGATGTGCCTGGAAATTTTTAAATATTTCCACTGAAATAAATCCCCTCTCTCTCTCTCTGGGGGCCCAGCTAAGCGATCCTAATTTGCTTTGTATTCCGACTGAAGGCATTTTGCCCCGGCCCCTGCAGACATTCCCGCTCGGCCTCTGTGAGAAGAGGCATTCATTCATTTCATTTGATTTCGTTCCGTTCGGTTTTTGGATACGCATTTCACGAGAAATGATTTATTAAAATTCCACAACGCAGGAGTCGGCCGATGAGAGATGAGATGAGATCCTTTCGGGGCAGAGAGGAGAGAGAGTCTCAGCCTCAATGACATTAATAATGGAAATGCCTTTCAGCTGTCCCCGTCCCTCGGACGCTACTATGGTAAGTATGCAACAGTTTGGCATCGGGCTTTAAAATATTTAAGGCTACTCTCTCCGGCATGCATGCTAAACTTTGCCAGCAATTGACCTCGGTCAAACATAAACAAAAAGAGGCAAACCAAAAACCAGAAAGGAAAATTCATTCGCTTTGCCAAATTATTCAAGTCAAACAAGACCGACAACTCACCGGTTGTATTGCATAAAATATGCAACAGCCTTGTCCAGCAAAGCTTCAAAAGCTGGCCAAATTCTACGAGTTCGATTCGATTCTTCACCCACTCCCTCTTTATTTCCACTCGAACTAAAAGCATTTAAATTCCAATAAAATTATGTTGTTGCGGTCGAGGGGAAGGGCGACGCCTTGATTTACGTCTCCCCAGAAACCAGGCTGAATCTTTAATGAGAAGCCAACTAAACTGGTCAATACTCAGTGGTCACATCCTTGAATCACTTGGAGAAAATCAAAGCAACCTTGAATCGAGGAAAAATGATGTTAAGACTGCTAGCTCAAGGTATTTTTTGCTGTATGAAAATACTTAAGAGACTTGAAACATTATGTAAAAATATATAACCAATACATTAAATACTGCCACGTTTTTTAAGTGTTTTTAAATACCTTTAAAAGAATTTAATACATTTTTCTTTCTGCAGAACTTATAATAAATATTCAGAGACATTTTCAAAGTATACTAATTTATTTTGTCGTGTAGGATGTTGTCATTTTTGTGGCTGCATCTTTGTTGTTTTCTTCTTAGAACCTGGCACACGAACCCTAAAAGTACTCAGACTTTCCTCAGATGGAAGGGGATCCTTAGCAAAGACACTTTATTTGGTTTTGCGGGCATTGCCTTTAATTTTCCTGGTAAAAGTTTCGTTTGATTGAATTAATTGTTTTGTTATTCTTGGCAGCCAGTTAACCGAAAATTGTAAATTAATTGCTTGGAAACCAAAGCCGCACGCACACACGAACACAATGAGTGCGTGGGATGTATTGTAATTATTATCTTTTCATTTGCATAAAACTGATTACGAGTTTGGGAAAATTTAAATTTCAGCCCAGTGGCCTCTGTGAAGGAAACAACTAACTGCCAGATGGATAATTGCCATTATCTGATTACGGTTTATGCCGAATCGAATTTATTGCAGCAATTTACATACTTTTTTGTATTTCATTTTCAATTTTCTATATGGAAACAACGAAGGTTAACTTTCATTGCATGCCCCCCAATCCCTTTCATGGAGCACAAATAACAAGAAAATTATAGTACAGGGCAGCCAGAGGATATCAAAAAGAGCTGGCAACAAATTGCTAGGATAATTATATCAATAAATTTGATCAAAATATAATGCAAGGCAAGCCAAGGCAGGGCAGGGCTTTTGTTCATTTTCAATTCTCATTTGGCATTTACAAATTTTTCATTTGCATAAACTAAATGCACTTAAATAAAGTAATATAGTTTATTTAATTTTCGTTATTTGCTTTTAAAATGGTCGAATTTCAAAATGAGCATTTAAATTGATTTCTCTGGCTAAAATAAATTGCCTTTAGACAAGTGAGAATATCCTTTTCATTAAAATTGTATAAACAAGTAATTAGAGCTCTGCGTTTCATTTGCCAAATTATTATTTAAGGCTATAAATAATTGTATTTTCCCAAATATTAAGGCTTACAAAAAGGTAACTGGTTATAACAATCAAAAATTGAATCCTATTTCTGGCTTAAGGGCACCCTTGCACTCGCACTCGTAAAATATAGAAATATAATGCTGAATGATGCCAGCTGACGCTACAGTTTTTAGCGAGCCCGAGTGTGAGTCCCTGTACTTTATTACACTAACAGAGGCAGGTGCAGGTGCTGGGGCAAGCGGCAGCAACAACAAATGCCACTAATAACACCAATGCAGCAGCACAGACAAAAACAATAAATAAATAAAAAGATGGCATGGCTTTGTCATTGCCTTTCCCCTTCTATTTCAACATATTTCTGATGCTGATGCTCGCAAAACCGCAACGGTTGCTGCCTCTCCTCACACATACTCACAAAAGCCCACCACTACACAGACAATGCCGCAGCACACATTGAAGTTATAAGGCACATACACACAAAGGAGTACATTTTTCGCTTTTATTTGTTTTCACAATACGTACAAATACGTGTTGGTTTCACCGAGTGTCCATGTGTGTTTGTAGGGAAGGACGAGTGTTATATTTTCATTTTTCGTTGCTTTGAATTCGTCGCCCCAGCGAAAATTCCCAGAAATTTGTCTTCACACGCCTGTCAAACCGTTGCACCGCTATCATCTATTTGCTAGGCTTAACCGTGGTCCGAAATCCAAACACAGTGAAAAATAACAGTTTATTTTTAATAGCAGAAACTTAATTAAAAATTTAGAAAATTATTCTTTGACTTTATATATATTTGGGTAATATTTAGGATAACATCGTGCCTTTTTATTAAATAAGAAAGACAGATAACTGCACTTGACATGCTTTTAACTGGTCTACTTATTTTTGATTCAAAATCCTGTTAAATCCTTGTAATTAAAGAGCTTAATGAATTGATATAAAATAATATTTATGCTTTAACAATTACATAATTCTTTTATAATCCAAATTTTATCGAAATACAGCTAATTAAGGCAATAGTTTTTTCCTCAGTGCAGCGATCCCAGGTCCACTTAGTTGGCATGCGCTACCACAG